ACATAGGAAGTCTTGAATTGTTCTAGTTTCGCCTGGCTATTGTCTTTTGTAGCCACTCGTGGACTTGGGCGGTTTTAGTGAATAAGATTGGTGGAAATGGACGAGCTTACGCAGCTACATGCTGATGTTCAACAAGGTCACAGAATATATATCCAGAAAGACCAAAGGATCCTGCACAATAGAACTTCTTTCCCAGCTTTCTGGCCGCGTCATTGACTCGTATCTACCAATGATTGAACAAACATAGTACAAAGGAAACTGTGTCCACATACCGCTGTAGCTTGGTCCATATCCGTCAAGCAAACAAGATCTACATCCTGAAGCATGTTACCCAAAGCTTCCTCGCTGGTCAATGCAGACAGATTATGGGAGACTTCGACAGTGACCAAAGGATTGAGAGATTGTATATGCGGTTTCGCTGCGTCAACGCGTCTTTTCACGTTCACATCCTCTTCCCTGAAGAAGAAACCAGTAAATACATCTTCTGGTTGTACGAGACTATCGTCTATCACGATCAGTTTGCCGATACCAGCCAAGACGATATTCTTGATAGCTTCTGTCGCTACACCACGAAGACGTATAACCATGACTGTGGCATTTCTCATTCTGTTTCATACAAGCATCATGAGACTTGTTCATTAAAACTATATAAGAGAGGGACGATACTTTTGTTGTGCGTCAAGTCCCCATAGCCGAATTTGACGGTCATAAAGAGCAGCTTCATCTACAGGACAGGTCTAGGAAAGTATTTTTGGCTGTAATAAATATCTTGCCTTCAGTGATGGTTGCAGCCATGTGTGAAGCTTGCTGGAGGCGGCGAATAAAAGCGTTTGCTCTCGACACTCGACAAGACTCGGCCCAGTTGACTCCATCTATCAACACTATGGGTGCATCTTCATCAACCTTGGACCCAAGGGGTCCCTCACCACCGTCAAAAGCATTACACGTTTTACGTGTCTCGCCTGGCTCACCAGCAGCTCAAACAGATATTGAACCTTTCTTCGACTTTGTGGTTGGCATCGATGGAGATGACTCGACTTCTGTATGTTTACCTATTTCACATGTTGTGGGATTCGCTGACTGAAGTTTTGCCCAAGAGGGTAGATGCAGCAACACTTAGTCGAGTGGTTGAGCAGCATGAAGGCAAGACGCTTCCACTGATGATATGGAGCGCGAAATATAGAAATATGCGTGGTATGGTGCCTTCGCATAATACCTATATTGTCTAATGGGGCCATTCATTACAGTCGTGCCCGTCATACCCTCCAGAGACTGGTCCCAAACATCCAACTCGAACCCTCCTAATAATCCTCCATCTCTACTTGGACTCAGTATGAGACTATGTAGTCCAGAAGCTGCCCTAGATGATGTGTGGCATATTCTCGAAGTCTTAGAAAACTCTCCTGCAGAAAGTGCTGGTTTGGTTCCATATGGTGATTGGATATTAGGGTGGCCTGGAGGTTCACTATCAGGAGAAAATGCTTTCTACGAGCTTGTGGAGGCCCATATTGACAAGCCTTTGCGTGTGATAGTGTACTCGTATGACTTTGAGTAAGAGCGCCGATCCTATCCTTTGGTGGTCGCTAACTACTCTTCCAGCGCGATGCGAGAAGTCGTATTAGTACCAAATCGAAAATGGGGAGGCGAAGGACTACTCGGTTGTGGTGTCGGTTATGGGCTCTTACATCGAATTCCACCACAGCCCGTCAATTCAGATGCAATGGACACCATTCTTAAGCAAAACATACCTTATGATGAACAGGATGCATTCAAGGAACCCCATCAAAATGGTCAACTCGACCAATCCGCCTTATTTGTGCCGGCAGACGAAGACAATTTTGAATTTGGTGGAACATCAGGGTACCCAAAAGCATTCGAAGAGCAAGATAAACCCACAACTCAGGAAGAGTTTGACGAGACCCCCGTTGCACACTGGCATACGGTCAATAGCAAACCAAACCAAGTGCCTCCGGTGAGCAACACTATGGAGTCTCACGTCCAGCATAAACATGATCATGCTCACGACCACGATCACGGACATCACAGCCATAGTCATGCTCATGATCACGATGCAAATCACAGCTCAAGCTCGCATTCTGTTTCCGAACCAAACCCACCAGATCACAGTACACGCTCTCATTCCCACTCTCCTGTCATATACGCACCGCAACCTTCTACCTCTAGACGAACCAATAGCATCTCAAGTCTCAAATCCAACTCTGCGACCTCTCCACCACCTCGTTCATCAACACCGACACAGTCAGGCGTTCCCACAATGAGTCACACGTTTTCTTTTCGGGAAGGTAGAAATAGTCTCAGTGGTATTGGGAAGCCAGAGCCTCTACGAAGACTGAGTTCGCCACCTATAGGAACTCCTCAAAACCGACCCCGTATGAGGGGTGGCATAGTCCATTCACCCTCTAACTCAGTCTCAGGTACTCCAACACGGGTGAAATCACCGGTTGTACAACGAAATATTGACGATAGAGGAGAAGATGAGGGTAGTGATAGTACCAATCGGCTCCCATTGAGTCCGGGGGGAAGTATCACAAGTGTTGACTAGTTCATTAGATGCATCATCTCTATACTTATTCTATAGCAATGCTACCGCCACATTCTTTGTTTCAGTTTGATGCCGATACCTGTTGCTCTTCTTCAGTCGCCTCGCTTTCTGAGCTTTCCGGATCACTTAAAGCTAGTTGTCCCGTCCTAGCCCTTCTCTCAAGCGCCTTTTCATACATCTTCCTGGTAAACTGGATGTTATTAGAGCGGACCTGACTGATTAAGTGGCCAATGAACGATCGCTCCGATTCATCGCGAATGCAATTGGCCCACCACCTGTCCATACTCGAACGTAAGTACGGTGCGTTCAGTTTGTTGTTAGTGGATTGTTCAGAAAGAACGTGGAGAAGGAAGCCGGCATTCAGTCGCTCAAGACCCATTTCAGATAGGTGTTTTAGAATCCTGGAGATGCGCAAATAGTTGTGGTGAGAACCTGCGAGATACCATGTTACTATCATTTTATTTCATATCAATTTGATGAAGTGACTTACGAACAAGGTGTTGGTATTGCGATGTTGCACGCTTGCCTTGGGAAATATCGTTCATCGCTTTGACCTCTTCAGGTGAGCGATCTAACAAGCCCGTCTCTTCGTCCAGCAAGGTCATGCCATAAAATGAGAGCATCAGTTTATATGAACGAAGAACACGATTCATTATCTCAGGAGATGCCTTCATAGCATCTATCTCGTGCACTTGCAAGGGCTGAGACGCGTAATTCATTCCATGTTCTCGTATGGGGAAGCTGAGCAACGAGGTCAGGATTTTGGACCACTGGCAACCTATGATCCAAAAAACGTACAGCCATTGTATAAACCCGTGTTCATATTCAAGAGTCATGAAGTCGCCTTTCCATTGTTCCAGTAACTCCTCAATCAACAGATCATCTGGTTGACAGCGCCTTTGGTTGGAATAAAATTCCAAATTCTTCCGATACGATGGGGTATCCGTATTTTTAGGGTACTGATCTAAGAATTCTTGAACGTCTCTAGGTATGGACATGATAGTTGGCAGATAAAAGGTGGTATCTCTTGACACGGTGGGTGGCAAACTGGTATAAGCGCGCAGAATGACTTTTGCCTCAAAATCTCAGCCAATAAAGCGAGTAGCAAAATGAAAGCCAAATAAACTGCGTTTGTGTATACTCGTACATAAATTGGATCCTGGAATACAAGGATCATCCATACTATATTTCTAGTGTCATATTACCTACCCAAGCCCTATCTTCGTATTTACGAAGAAACTGGAGTCCATCTCGGCTCCCTTGCTTTGCAAGAATTTCCAGAGGCGGTTGTAAGACACCTTTAGAGCTGATTAAAATACACATTGTCTTTGCTCGACTGATTCCGACATTCAGTCGCCTCAGAGAAAGTAGGAATTCGAGGTGGTTGTTTAGGGATGGTTGATGGGTATGAGATAACAAGAAGATTACGAAAGATGCTTCAGAACCTTGGCAAGAGATGAGCACAGATTGTCGCCGTACTATCTTAGGCTCACCTTGTAATCTTTCCACAGTATCGATTTTTAACCCACGCTCTGACACATGCAATGCATCTACCGCCGAGGTGAGGCCTTCCACGTCATTGTCTAATCCAGCCTCTTGCGGTTCATCAAGCCTGCATGCCTCATCGGAAGATAGGATAGCTTGTCGAACTGCACTTCTCTGGATACGGTGAGGACAAGCGACAAAAATACTTTCTTCAACTCCAAAGCTTTCTCTCAGCCAGTGGACGAGAGCAGCCGCGAGTCTTGCTTCCGCTTTGACGTGCATCTCGTAGGGAATTCCAGATGAACATCGAACCTGAAGCTTGACCAATGCCAGAGAAACGCTTCGATGCTGACGTATTTGATCCTTCTGACGGATGAAAGTACTGACCCTCGGTGGAATTAATGGATTGGGTGGATGCTTTTTCTGTGCCATAGCGTTGGCTATGTTGAGCAGAAATTGTCGCGCTTGCTCCATGGCATCATCCTCATGAACTTCAGTGTCCAACCACAATTGAAGCGATTCTGCAATCTCGGCATTTTGAGACTTCTCGGCTATAAATTTTTTGGCGTATATTAACTGGATAAATTCTCCCAGGTCCGGGTTCAACCTAGAATCCGTTAAATGATGAAGACTGAGGGGTAAGTAGGCATACCGGAAATTCTCGAGTAGTTGTACGATGGCTCCTTTATATTCCTGTTCATGGCTCAACCGTATCAGCCTCGAACGCGTCTGGCAAGGGAAGTCGCACCCTCGACCAGTCGATAGAAAGATATTTATCTATGCGGGGACTACATTTCAGCTCCACAGGTTCTGCGAGAAGTGTAATTTAAAGGCAAATCTTATTATCATCGACGAGGCCGGTCAGCTATCCCTCGGCACCGCGGCTTTGGTTATACGATGGATTTCTGATACTGGAAAGCTTGTTCTCGCAGGAGATCATCAGCAATTGGCCCCAATTTTGGCTGGTGCATACCCTGACTCTGATAGATTGCCTTTATTTAGTTCGGTGCTCGACTTGATTATGGGAAAGAAGAACCGT